CTAAGGCATACATACCTAAGAACAAATGAATTCAAATTCAGGCCCATGAATAGAATGTGGAGTTTGATTCTTGAAGGAATTGGATCACATGGGAAACTTATGTCTTTCTGCCTATTTTACGGGGTGTAAAATTTAAGGCAAGATCACTCTGGAAGCAGAACTACTCTAAGGATGTAAAACTGTAAGAGAAAAGGTGAGACAGTGAGATATTTTAGATGAGATGAAGATGTAGTGTCTTTCAGTTAAATATAGAGCTCACCTTAGAATGCAACTTTAAATTTAAAAAATAGGGGTTAGTAGTTTTGGGCTTGGTATGATAGCATGTGGTGTTTATTTTACATGTAGTGCACAGAAGGAACATTCGATAACTGGAAGGTATTCCTTTGATCCTAACAAAATAGCCAATCTCTTAGTATTTTAGTGTTTTCTTGAGCTTGAAAAGTACTTATACTTTAAATGTCTTCCTCAACTTCAATGGTTGCTTTTCTGTGTATGTGTGTTTGCTAACTATGTTCATATGTTGGGTCTCACATATTTTGAGTAACTATATACATGGAAGAAACAATGTAGGGGAAAGGAGATTGCAGGGGCACCTGCAATTGCTTTGCTGTAGCCTGACTAAAACTGGTGAACATCTTCAAGGTCTCCAGATTTCTGTGACTTTCTGTCATGATTTACAGGAAACCCTTTAACTTCATTTGCTTTTGGGAAGTACTAACATCATTCTATGCAGTCGAGGAATAAATTTTGCATCCAGAAAACCTTCCTGAACTTAAACTTTTATGTCATATTTATGTTCGAGAACTATATATAGGTTGGTCATTGTCTGGGTTAAGATTTTTATCCTTTATGTTCTTTCCTTAACTACATTGTTCAGTATTGTCAGGAACAGTTGTTGACAAGGTAATTGCAGATTTAGAATCATGTGGCTTCCAATGTTTGATTGCTGGAATAGGTGGGAAAGGCATGGAAGTTTCCTTCAGCGGTACTTCCTGATATTGTCTGCTGCAGCTGCTAATTGTAAGATCTATCTCTTTAGAATCAAATAAATTTGTTGAAGACATTTGTTTCTTCAAATTTTCCCATTGATCATTGTTGTATGTTCATTATTCTGTAACGGAAAGCTATTGTATCAAATGACAATCACATTGTTGAGAAAAAGATGTCTTTTCCTGGGTGGCATTAACCTCAATCTTCATTCTCAATCTGTTTTTCTGGTTTAAAAGTTTAGCATGCCTGTTTTACTTCAGGTTTCAGTTTGAGTTATCATAACTGTATAAAAAAAATTATTCTATGACTGTCGGTCGCACTTTTGTGATTTCCTCTCCTTCTGTTATACTGACCATACAAAAATCATATGTCAAATCTTGAATAAGCTAAATCATATATTCCATCTAAGCCAAATTGCACAAATGTAAGACTTAATCTCCATTCTCCACAGGAATGATTAATGGCACAAATTACTGTAGAACACAGGCAGGTTGTTGCCTAGGATTCTACATGTCGCAGGAAATTTGTCTTCAATTTCATCTGTCTACCATTTATTCATGTTTCTTCAGACTTAGCTGCATTCAATATTTACCACTGCACGATCAAATCCTCAAATGTGATCAGAAGATAAAAGTTCATTTAAAGCCGTATTTTTGCACAGAGTTTCTCCCAGATGCCTATATCAATATACAAAGAGTCACTAGACACCATTCTTTTTCACCAAATGAATTCTTGAACACAAGGGTTTTTACATTTACACACATGCATTCACATTTCTTGATGCCAAGTGCAAAAGAAGACATCACGCAAGGGAACTTGAAAGAACATAAAAAAGGACAGATGATTCCACTTCCTCTGGCCACACTGCTATAGACACTCAGCATGCCAAGACCACCACAAAAGCACCGATCAAGGTCAAGCATTAACAATCGTCCCACCTGTGAAAAACCAATCAATTAAATCGTAGAACTCAATTAGAAAAGACAAAATGACAAAATTCTGATAACACCATCAATAGGTAAAGGAAAGAAGAAACTGCAGCCTGCATGATACGGTGATAAGGAGCATACCATTAGGATGGAGGACCTGGCCAGTGATGTAGGAGGAGCACTCATTACAGGCAAGGAAAACATAAGAGGGTGCAACTTCAATGGGCTGACCTGGCCTATGCATCGGCACCTCACTCCCAAACTTTTGAACCTCCTCTTCGCTGAATGATGCAGGGATCAGCGGTGTCCATATTGGCCCCGGGGCTACACCGTTTACACGGATGCCTTTGCTGATTAACTGCAGCGCAAGTCCTCTGGTGAATGCAACAATTGCTCCTTTGGTGGATGTGTAGTCAAGTAACTTAGCATTTCCCTTGTACGCATTGATTGATGTGCTATTGATAATGGCGCTTCCTTCTTTCATGTGCTTCAAAGCATGCCTGCAATTACATTATCACTAACTAATCAAATAAAAGCCAAAACAAAAATCACACATATGATGAAAGATTGATAGTTAAATCATCCCAGCGTGCATACCTGGTCATAAAGAAGTAAGCAAAGATGTTAGTCCTGAACACTCTTTCCAGTCTTTCTTCATCAATTTCCTCAACAGAGGCTGCTTTATACTGCTCTGCTGCATTGTTCACCAAAATATCGATCCTACCGTAATTATTTACCACTTCATCCACAACCCTTTTGCAATTTTCATCATATCCCAAATCTGCAGGAAGAGCCATTGGGTCTTTTGCATCAGGAGCTTTGGCTTTCATCAACATTCCTAGGGTGTCTGTTGCATCTTTGTCCTCAATGCCTTTCACATAGGTGAAAGCCACAGTTGCACCCTCTAGAGCAAAGCAGTGGGAGACTGCTCTCCCAATGCCCGAATCAGCCCCGGTAAGCAGTGCTATCTTGCCCTGGCAATTGAACATTGGTTAGAGTAATCAATTTCCAAGTATATAGTACCTTCTTAGAATAATTTGCCATAAAATTCATGAACTTCAAAATCAAGAAGCAATCCCATGCAGAATGAAAGTACTAATGCCCCTCAGTTGATGCTTTATTTTTCCGCCCCATAAAATGATCAATCACAGTTTGAAATGAAATATTCACTACAAACATCCGATCAAGAACTAAAGAAAAAGAAAGATGAGAAAACAGGCCTTCAAACTCTTATTAAATAAGGAGCTATTTGTGACAGTAGAATAGCAAATTGAATTGAGGTAGTGAAATTGTTTTTAGTGCGAAAGAAGTAAGTCTAAAAAATTTCATTCTCCAGAAATAAAAAAAAAAATTAAATTTATGCAAAATTGGTGGAACGTACCTGAAGCTTGTTAGAGGGCTTATACTCATGGCAAGTAGCCTTAGGAGTTGGATCCATGACATGTTGTTTCCCAGGTTGTACATCCTGCTTCTGAGGTGGGAATTGCTGACCGCTAGAAGCCATAATTGATCTAACAAAAACGGTGCTTTTTCTGGTAAAACTGTGGTAGTAGGTTGAACTTGAACAAGAAACTGGAGAAAACTGACTTTTCAAAGAACTTTGGTAGCTGATCAATGAGGTGGTTGCTAACACTCTGGAAGAAACAAGAAAACGAAAGAACATGAAATTTAGAACTCTCTTTTTTTGGGATGTATATATGAAAATGTTGATAGATATATATATATATATATATATCCGAGGTGGTTTATATGAAGATTGAAGATTGAAGACAAAAATGTGGAAGAGGTGGCGAGGCTTTGTAACGTGGCATGAGGCAGGAGTCTGCGTGTAATCTTAAGCCGTATGAACCGGACACATCAGTAGCAAGGGCGTCATGCATGCATGGGGCGTTGAGCTGAGATTTGTATGGAAAGTTGGAAACAATTTAGTTTGCATTATCAATACATTATTTGCATTGATAAATTTAGTTTGTTTGAATTGCACATTATTTGCATCTTATTTAATTTGTTTTTATTATTAATACATTTTTTTATTTTATATATATCATATCAAGAAAGTATTACAATTTTAAAAAATTATCTCAAATAATTTCTTATCCAAACACACCCGCAAATCATGCTAGAAACAAAATGAAGATTCAAGTCAAGAATTTTGAGTAGAATGTTCCAATTTTTTAAAATGACCAGAAACTAATTATAGGGAAGACTAGTATGAGCATGTCATATGAGTATGAACAAAAGGAAAGTTAGAATGTGAAAGTGAAGTGAAGGAAAGTGAGATATAGGAAAATAAAAATCAATTTTTCATATACATTTAGTTATTAAAAAAATATTAATAACAATTAATAATAGCTATTGAAACTTTCGTGAGTAATTAATTTTTTCTTCAAAACCTTGTAAATTAGAAAATATAGGAAAATGCAAGAAAATTTTCAACAATTTATCAACCAAACATGCATGAAGAAGAAAATAACTAAAAGTTTTCTACACTTTTTCACACTTTTCCCTTGCAAACAAATAACACTATCCTAAACACTATTTTGAGTTAGATTTTTGTTTTCTACTCTATATCCTAAAGGTACAAGATAAGTTTAAAATTGCCAAAAATTATATTAAACTCACTTCTTATTCTTATTTTTTTGCTTTAGTCCACCTAGTTGAACCCTTTGAATTTTAAAACTAGACACAGCAATCACCTTAGAGCCTTAAACTCGGTTGCTGTCCACTTTTTCCACGAGAGTGGGGTTTGTCTATAAATTAGTCTATAAGATGGCTATTAGCTACAAATCCTCTCACAGGGACAGGCGCCAATAAAGGCTATGCATGTATGCTACGTGTAAACATCATGCAACTGATATCCATTCTTCAGCAACCTACCGCAGCCTAATTTGATACCCCCTTACATGTACCAGGACAGCAGATTTCAATTTTCAAGTGCCCTTTCCTGCAAGATAAGTGTTGCAGCCAATTTACCGAAAAAGAGATAGAAAATAACTTAATATTTTTCTGCTAAATTAACACGGAAAATTTTCTGAAGTTCGATCTAGTTTATTAGGTCAAAGGGCTCTCCTAAACTTAGCAATGTTGTCTGTTAGAGTTGGACTTACTACTTTCTTGGTGACGCATCTCATTCTCTTGCTGTCGGTTCCAGTTCTTGGTGATGGTACAACTTCATCTCCATTATATGCTTGTCTATCTCTGATTTTTTCAGATGCACCCTTTATACTCACGCATGAGTGAATTAATTAACGGACGAAGTAGGAAAAGCAGTTATTCTCTAGCACTATCTGATGATATGAAAGAAGTAGGAAAAATGAAGCTGAAGTTTGTGTTGATTTTGTATATAGGAACATGAATCAATTGTTAATTGTTCTTTCATGAGACAATGAATTAATGTGAATTCCGTTATTTCCTATGTTTGAGGATGTCAATTATGCGAAATAAGTGCAATGGTTCAAATATTTTGGGAGAAAAGATGGCTCTAATTTTGTCAGATTAGTGGTTCTTCTTCTTTCTTTCTTTTTTTTCCTGTTTCTTTTTCTTGTTCCAACCTCTATTAGTATGACTTTAACTTCATTGCTTGAGCATGGTTGTTTCAGGCTATACTGCGCTATACTAATCCCAGTATATGAATAGAACAAAAGGGTCATTTTGTCTGGATCATATGAAATGTTTAGTGGTCTTTTCTATCGTTGAAATCTTTTCATGCTTTTAACCCCCCCCCTTTGTTTTTGTTGCTTTTACACTCAAATTTCAAGTTTTTTTTGTCCTTCATCTATTGCATTGACCTCCAGACGAAAGAGATTATCTCCTTCAAGGTCTCAACAGTTACAGGCGATCTCAAGGTGCTGCACCCCTTCAAATGCACGACAAAGCGGGGTGTCTAGCAGACAAAATCGCCGACGAGATACAGGACCGACCTTGCCCGCCAGGAGGCGTTCCAACAACAACTTCACCCGGAATTCGACCTCAGCTAACCAACTATCCTGCCCTAGTAAAGGAGTGCAACATTGACATCAACAACACACTAGACGGTGTCATATTGCCCGTCTGCGTCCCCAAACGTGTTGCAACTCTCGTTCTCACAAACTATACGCTGTCGCCTTACTCGGCCTCTGTCAATAGCACCAAGTACACTGGAGTTGGCATTGGTTTAGAGGACGACTGGACCGTGCTAGTCCTGACTACTAACACTGCTGCAGGAAGCTTTGCTAGTGCAGCTTGTTTTACTTGTTTTGTTTAGTTTGAGGTACCACGTTTTGGCTATGATTCTGGGATTGTTATTTGATTTCTAGTACTTGTGGCCTAGTCGTATATATATATATATATATATATATTAGGGTTCTTCTTGTATCTTTTGTTGTTTATGTCACGAACCAAGATGTCATATCTTGTAGGTTAGTGCATCATAAGTGGTTTCTGTGTGTAGTCCACAACTATTTGCTTGTATTATTATGTTGTATTGAAAATGTCTGTTCATGTAAATTGGCCGTATAAAAGTGTAAACCCGGGCGAGTATTATTACCATAAGATGGTGAATCATCATCATTTAAGGGAAGAAAACTTGGATTAATCTAGTAAATCATTTCACTGAGTTTTTGTGATGTTGGATTGCTGTCAAAGAGAGCCTTTCTTTTCATGTCAAAGATAACAATGATTGTGCATCAATTTGAGGAATACTGGCCAACTTGAGTTCTGCCAATTGGATTTACTAAGAAGCCACGCTTTGGAAGGAATTTTTGCACCTAAAAGTGGTTACAAGTTTGGAATGCATGGTGTACTGTCATCAACTTGATGTTGTCTCCTCTGACTTGACTTCTAAACCAAATGGGGTCATGTGTCCTTTTTAATTTTATTTTATTGTATAAGTCGCATTTCTGCCGTCTAAGTCGTATGTCGTTTTTACCAATTGGCTGGATGGCTGTGTCTTGTGAATCCCGCTGCTTAGATTACCTTCGGGTCGGTTAGCTGCTAACTCCTGCATGTCTGTTTGTATGCGTGTCTGTTTGTATTATTGTGTGTGTGTGTCTTATTCCGTTTCGGAAAAAAAAAAAAATCGTATGTCATTTTTAATTTGATTTTGTTGCATAAATCGTATATTGTTGAGTACAGAATTCTAAATATCTAAACCATTCAATACTCTACCTTCTTGAAATTGGTTCAACATGATTGCATGGAGAACATGACACATGATACATAGCTTCGTATACTTGAGGATAAAAAATTAATAATGTGCCCTTAATGGATTTATTACAATTTAGCATGCCTGAACAAATGACTTAATTCCCCATTTGTTCTTCAAAGTAGCCAAAATTTTCAACTAAGTTACTCAAACTAAAGAAGTTTCAATACATTATTTGATACATCTTGTGCCAATTTAGGCCTCGAACCGTGTCGATGAATGGAGGCTTAAATTGGCAGAATTTACCTACATTTTTTACCCCTTTGGTGGACTGAACTGAGACCTTTTTAGTTCAGGTTAACTCAGACTTGTGGTTACTTCGGAGAACTAGAATGGAGTTTTTTTTTTTTTTTTTGGGGCATTGATCTGATTGTTTACATCTCTCGGATTGTAAATGTGTACAAGAAGAAAAAGATATAAAAGGAAATTTGTTTGCCATGGTGATTTGTTTTGTCCGCTGATGTTGTAATTAGGTTTATCAACTGGCCAAAGTAACCAACGGCCCTTTGGGCGGTGGTCAACCACCAAAGATTTCAAGTCTTGATAGGGTGGAAAGTTAAGAATTCAAATCTTACCTCCCATCAACGTACAATTATATGTGTTTTCAGTTTCATCGATTTCTCTAAATTCCATTGTGCCTCTCCTCCCAAACAAGAACACATTCTTAAAGCTTGATTCTCATTTCTCAATGGACCTATTATTTGGTTAATTTAATTATCGGAGCCTTGTATAGGTAACCATTTAAGTTGAACATCTATCAAATTAACAGAGAGAAGGAAAAGAGAGCAAATGGAGTAAACAAATTGCCAGATTGGTTCTGTCAGATAAGAAGCGCTTTAGAACAATACTTAGCCAAGGATTGTTAGGAACCAACATCATACAAATGATTATATGACTTCGACGAGTATACTTAAAAAAATTCTGCTGCAGTGGAAATGTGGAATCCCACAAAACTAAAATCTAATTCAGAAACTTTACCACATTGTTCAGAAATCAAGCGTGATATATTGAAGTTCTAACTTAATTTGACTATTATATTTTTGTAGTATAATAAAAAGAAAAGATAAAAAAAAAAGTAGAGAAAGGTACTGGGAATTGCAAAGGCAATGATGAAAGTGTAAAAATCCAACATGTATACTGATCAAGCTGTTAATCAACAATTACAAGCATCTTAACATTCTAAACAAAGCTGTACTTGAGGAATTATGTTAGTGACCTTAAAGCTCAATTGTTGATAAATTTTCTTTTAAAAATTCTCAGAAAGAGGAGCATGTTCACATCGTTATAATGCACAAAGTTGTTATTATTATTTTTTTAATTTCTACCACACCGAAAAGTTTGAATTTGAACTGCTCCATTGCACCATTACTTGACATCCGGTAAATGAATTACAATTTTTTTTTGACTTGCTATCTCAAACAAAAAAAAAGAGGAAAAGGATCAAAGAAATGTAATTTTGTATATATAACTGCGAAATCTTGCCATTATAAAAAGAATGCAAAAATGGAACCATCACTAACACTTTTTTTTTTAATCTAACATCTCGAGGTCACAGTTAGAAACCTGAAAAACTTAATCCAATCATTGATTTGTCATCAAAGTTAGCTAAGATCCTAAAAACAAACTAACATCAAACTATTCTTATATAACAAAAAAAACTATGCACAAAATGCGAATAGGGAAAGAGTTTCAAAAATACCAAATTGTTTAAACATGCATGCTCCTATACATTTATGCTCTTTTGGACACCCTCATGCATTGTGAGTGTAGGTTTTATGTGTACCACTCACAGTTCTCTTTTGGCAAGTAAGGGTTAACAAAATTCACAACATTATTATCCCTTAAGCGCTTCATATCTTGAATGGAATTAAACCTGAACAAATCATCAGTCATAAATTCACCTTATATAAAATTAACAGATTGGCTATTAATAAAATAGTATAGTTTCTTCTAGAAATAATGTTGAGTGCTATTCAATTAAGATCGAACAATTTTTTTTAAATATCATATCAAATTATGAGTTTTGTAGAAGGTAATACAAAACATCTTATGGTTTTATACGATAATTGCTATAAAGCTAACGATCCATTAGAAGATTTTCTTAAGACATCAACTATAGATTTAAAACCACTAAAAAAATGGTTAATTCCCAATAGATCAAATAAAAGAAATCATCATAAAGAGAAAAATTCAATGTTTTTCCTAGTGAGTAAATAATGGATGCCTTGTTCTCAATTGATTATTTCACTCAGTTATGTATTCTAATTTTGGATAATTTGTTTATCCCAAGTCTATTAAATTTGTACTTTTAACTAAACAAACTGCTTAGTATAATCAAGTTTTGATTTAAATACATATACTCATATTCGTATTTTACCCGTCTTGTTGATCTAATTTCACTTTCCTAAAAATTTGAGTGCTTGTTTTCGATGATTTTGCAAAAGTTGGTTGTGGAGGGTGAATTTAGAGAATAATCACACCAGTTCAAATCTCAAACTACTCTTTGACAGTGGATTTTAACTATTTTAATAGATACTATAAAATCTACAATCTAAAACCTATATGCAAAAGTAAACAAGAAAATCATAAAACTAAATATATCCAACCTAGATACATGAACAAGTCTTAATAGAGTGTGTTCGGATAAGAGGTTATTTGAAATATTTAATATTATTTAGAATAATTATTATAATATTTTAAATATTATAATATTTTCATAATAGGATACATGTGAGATAAAAAAATTAATTAAAAAAATAAAAAAATAATTAGAAAATTTATTTACAATAGTATTATAAAAATTAAATAAATACCACTAAACATGCATTAGGAAATTAAATACTCCCACTAATTGCTTTTTGGAGCCGACACCCTATGGTTGGACCAGACCAACGTCAACAAAATTCGCACTAAAAAGAGCGCTTTCTTCTCAAACTAGTGCTAAAATTCCACAAGTGGAAAATCCGATCGATCGACCAAGAAACGAAATCAAAAGGACGGAAGTAGAAAAGGGTCTCCACACCAGTCCTTCGAAGATGGCGGAGGACGACGACGACGATAGCTTTGGAGACTTTACGTTTGCGACCTTCAACAATAATCCATCTACCAATCATCAACAATTGAACCAAATCAACGCCCCACGATTCACAATGGCCACCACGACGACGTCCGCCACCTCTGCAGCCGCCAATGGCGACGACGATGATGAATGGGGTGATTTTGTTGAAAGCCCACTTGGATCTAATGCGTCCTCCATTAACACCCCGGCAGCAAAGCCTTTCGACCCTTTTAATTTCTTCGCGGCAAACCCCATTACTCAATCCCAGTCAGAATCTGGTGGGGTCCAATTGGAGGAGGAGAAGAAGGAGAGCCAGTGGGTGAAGCTGAAAGGGGCTATTCCACTGTCGATATTTGGTGATGTTGAAGAGGAAGAGAAGGAAGAAGAAGTGGAGGGATCTGGTGTGAGTGATCCGCATGGTACTAATGGTAAGGACTCGAAATTTGATCTGAAGAAAAATGGTAATTTTAGTAATGGATTTAAGAGTAACGGTTATTTAGGTGGGTCGTTTGGTTATGATGTCATCGCAAGTTTGTATAATCAGAATTCGGATTTGAATTTGAGCAAGAAAGATTCGAGCTTGATGCTGAATGGTTTGAATTTGGAATCAGAATCACTGGCTAGGAAGAGTGATAATGATTCTTTTATGAATTTGAGTAGTCATAACGATAGTAAGAATCAAGAAATGAAGACTGAGGATGGGGTTAATGCTAGTTCTAACGGAGTACAATTGCGTTTGGATGCATTAGACCTGGATTTTGGTGGGTGGAATACTGGTTTTAATGGACTGGGTTCAAAGTCTAGCTTGGACTTGGATATTAAATATGATTTGAACGATAGAAATTTGGATGGTAAAGCTGAAAATGACAATGCTCAGTCTCGTTTAAATTATATTGACTTGGCTGTAAAAGATACTGAGAATCCACCTTTTAGCTGGTGGAATTCAAATTTGGATGGATTTAAATTGAATTCATCTGCTATGGAGTCAAGTTTGGAGGGATTG